CAGTCTAACTCTAGCCTAGATGAATCCCTAACCTCTCCTTGACTCTGGCTAGCCTCTTTCAACTAAACTCAAAGCTCATCACCCACTCATCAATATGTTTTTGCGCGATAATTCCCCTCGGCAAATTTGTTTATTTGTTTGCCCAGGGTCATCATCATTTTCTTTTCCAATGCTAATCCCCATCCCATTCATTTGCATGTGTTTATTTGGGGTGTTGATTGAGAGAGAAAGAAGAAAATGAGGCACATGTTCTCCGCAAAAGTCAATTCTATAGACAATATTGTTCTATTTACCCCCTCCTCTGCTCGATCAAATTGACCTTTCACACATATCTGAACAAGCCACCACAAATTTCTCTCCTCTAATTTCCCTGACTAATTTGGGGTATATGAAAAAGCAGAGCTAATTTTACACTAACAGAGAGACAAATCTGCGACTACCGAAATTAAGTGAACATTGAAAACCCAAAACTTGGGTAATTAAACCTAGAAGCGTGGGTTTTCGGCGGTCTCTAGCTAGGGCCGTGTGCCAGATACCGCTTTTTCGTACGAGTGACAAGAAAAGAACCCTCAAAACTTGGGTAATTAAACCGTCGAGGGGGGTTTCCGGGCCTTTCCACCCAGGCCAATGTGCCAGACGCCGCTTTTTCTTACGAGCGACAGGGAAAGTACGCACACTTGAACTTGCACTTGAACAAAATCATTTCACTTCCAAGTAAAATTAAGAAACAAGTGTGCCAGAAAGGGTATGTTTACTCAAAATTGAGCACAAAGTACATGTAAATGGCTGAATCGAATATAAAAAGAGCTCTAAAATGATATGAAAAGGTCAACTTTCAGCCAACCTTTAGAATCTTCCTTCAACTCTATCAAATTTCATTGAATTTTTCGAAACAATTGTTCCAAAAACAGTTCCCATTGAGTAAGTGCATAAGAAAAAAAGAACTGAATTTCTTTTTTTTCAAACAAAATCAATCCTTTTCTTTTGTCCAAACAGACAGAAAAATGAGATTTTCTCATGGGAATTCCTTTTTTTTTTTTTTTTTTTTTTAAACCCATTTTAAACCTTTCATTTTTTTTATTTAAAAGAAGATTGATTTCGATTTTTAAATGATTTAAATGAGTTTCATGTCAAATTTACTCTACTTTCATTTAAGTAATTCAATTTTATATGTTATAGTCAAGTTTTATGATCATTTTAAGCTTTTTAGTGTTCAAGAAACAAGCAAAGTCGATGGAAAGTCAAAAAAATCATTTACTTTGTGCTCAATTATGTAAACACATCCCTTCTGGTGCGGTTATCGTTGCTCTTTTTGGTTACTTTGTGTTTAAATGCACCTTTTTTTGCCCTACAATGCCCTAAAATCAAATCAGTCATTGTACAGTGCACTATACTTTCTACAGTATCCTTTTACACCCGAATCAATCATTACAGTACTCTCTACTATCTACAGTATCCTTTTACAACCAAATCAATCATTACAGTACTCTCTACTATCTACAGCATCCTTTTACAACCAAATCAATCATTACAGTACTCTCTACTATCTACAGTATCTTTTTACACCCGAGTCAATCATTGTACAGTACTCTATATAGTATTTTGAACTATAATGCCACTAGAATACTCTAGATTGCCTACAGTATCCAACTATTAAAAGTTATGCTACTATTTACGATAATTTGATCTGTAGAATGTAGCTTTCCATTAGGTGAAAGCTCTAAAACAGTACTTCTAGATAAATCATGAAAATTGAAGAAAGACCATGAAGTGCCAGATGGCTAATGAGAGTGAAAAGAGGCAGAAAACAACATAAGCAATACAAATGATCTTCCTCTTTTCTCTTCTTTCTTTTCTTCCTTCTATTCATCATTGTATGCAAATTTACGCAACATCCCCTAGGAAAAGAAAAACGCGGACAACTGTTTTCAAACAAAACCCTCGAAACACAGCCCTTCTATCTTTGTAAAAACAATTTCCCTTACATTAGAAGCCTAGAAGATTCTAAACCCCAGATTTTCAGATCAGCATTTTCACCGCCTAAGGATCGGACATAAAAAGGTGCCTTTTAAGGGAAAGGATGGGTGCTTGAAGAGTTGCGCAATAGGCAGGACCTAGGGGTACAGGCCTAGCCCAATGTAACGCTTATTAGAGCCGGTCACCCGCTGTGTTTTCTCACCCCTTTCCCTGTTTTTTTTTTCTTGACTAACGACAAATTTCTCTTGTTTCTCTTGGCCTTTTCTTATAGTGATAGGGCAAATAATGCCTAAAACAACTCTAATTAGGCCACATTTGCCTTCGAACCATTTTTGACACTCTACAACGTATTTTCTTGTTATTTTTTTCGATATTTTAAAGATAGATATAATACTATGAATTTTTGAGACAATGAATTAGATACTGTAGCTAGTATTGTAGCCGATACTGTGCCTCATTGGATACTGTAGCTGGTACTGTACCTAGCACTGAACCTTGACTAGTACTGTACCTGTCAGAAGCCAAACTTTGATCCGATATCAGCCCTAAACCATGAGCTTCGGCCAGCCATGAGCCTTGAACTGTAAAATTCCTCAAATACTATCCACTGTACAACCATTAACCCTTCATCTGAAAGCTCTCAATAGTTACTATTTTCTGTTCTGTTCATTCCAAATCCACCCAACAATACGGTATTCATCGTTACTGAGGCGTGAGGAAACATCTGTTGGATGAGAAAAAGAAGAGAACACTCGCTCATTAACAGACATCTCGACTTATTTGGTTTACAAGCATGAATGAGCAGTACTAGATGGAAAGTGCTTGTGTCAAGCTAGGACCAAGATCAGGACTAGAACCAGGATTAGGACCAGTTCTAAGCCAGGATCAAAGCAGGACCAGAGTCAGGTTCAGGACCAGAACTAGACCCAAGAAAAATCAGAACCATCCAAAACCAAAACAGGATCAGGACTAGGACCAAAACTAGCACCAGAACTAGGACCAGAACTAGGACTAAGATCACTACCAGGCCCAGTATTTGGGTCTAGGGTTAAGATCGACCCAGAACCAGGCTCAGGATCAATGCGAGAACTAGAAGACATGACCAGGTCTAGAGCTAGGGTAGGGATCAAGACTAGGATCAAGATCAGGGTCAAATCTAGACCAGGATCAAAGCCAGGGTGATTCAGAGAGACCTGAGCCAAGCCAAGGCCATCTAATGTGGGCTAAATTTGCGGTATAACAAAGTAGCAAATTATCTAGTTTTCACTTTTACTTAGTATCCGTGTAACCGATTGATGATTTCCTGCGAAAGTCCCGGTAGTCCGGGTCGGTCAAAAGCAATGGGGGACACTCAATATCCCCAGGTATCATTATACCTGCCCTTTCCTTTCCCTTTTCTCCCTTTGAATTGGTGTCCGGGGATTATCCCTGACTCCGAATGACTCTTGCGATGCCTCTCCTTTCTTTTCCCCCAAAAGACCCACCGACTTCATGTTTCTCCACACCATTTATTCACCTGTCCATTGCGCTTTCTCAAAGGGTATTCAGTTACTTTCATTTACGACTTTGGCTTGTTGACTTGCTTGTTGACTTTTGGAGTTGTTATGGACTTTGTTATCGAATTTTACTTTGAATCTGATCTGTCTAGATTCACTAGATCAAATCGTAGAGCTTTTCGTTTAGCTATGTCTAGTACTAGGTGTCTAGAATACAATGTATCTCTCTATAATGTATCTATCTATAATGTATCTATCTAATACTGTAGCCAATCCTGTCAAAATCGTTTCATTTTTGAAGACTAGAACTAGCTTTTCCAAAATCTACCGCTTCAAATTCATGAAGCTGATACGAGCTTTTTATCCTTATCATTTCTGATACTAGAGAATGATAGCTTTGCTGTATTCTGGGTTTTAAATCTATTTATAGCCAAGCTTTCTTTTTTTTTGGGTGCTAGGTGTTGTCGGTTATGTAACGAATGCGATGTGAAAAGGGTAATTTTCCCCTCTATTAGCTGAGCATCTGGTGACATCTTTAAAAGGGTCACCGTTTACAAAGCACACACACACAAAAATCCCTCTATTGTTGATTCATTTTGTGCTTAAGATTTTAAGAAATTACCCTTTTTGAAGCCTTAGGTAGCCTTAGATTTTACAAGTGTACTGTAGCGTACTTTATCCTCAAAACATTAAATGAACACTTTCTAACAAACTTTATTCTTCATTTTCTCGTAACAGTTTGGTGCTTTGTAAAAATTGAAGATTCCAGTGCACCAGAAAGGATTCGTTTTCAAATTAAAGCACAAAATGCACTTCAATTTATAATTCAATTTTTTGCACTAAATCTAGAGAAACTTGTCCGCTCAAATGATCTATAAAGAATCTAAAAGAGAGAAAGATGAGTGATTGTTACACACTTTTCTGTTCTGTTATGTTCTCTTCATCAAATGACATGACATATCACGTTATTTGATTCTTTCCATTCTTTTCCCCAGCTACATCCCTTTTCAGTGTTCCGATGATCTCCCAATCCGTCAACAGGTGTCCTGTTCATTCCAGAATTGTCCTGTTCATTCCATTTCAACTTCACAGTCATTTTTTACCATAAAAAAGCAACAAATACAGTTTTCTTCTGGTTTTAACAATGTTTAGACTAATTATCTTTTGTCTTACTATCAAATTAGCAGCTCTAATGTTGCATTGAAATTTTTTCTTACCGTACATTTCAAAACTAATCCCTTTTTCATTCTTTTTCATACCCTAGCTATAGTATCCCAAATTTCCAACTCAAAATAAGTCTTTTAATCGATTTTTTGACTTTTTGACTCACTTTTTAACATCATTAAGGGTTTTTTAAGCTTTTAAAGCTAAAAACTTCAAAAAGTTAACGATTTTATTATTCAAGAGCCAAAAAAGGTAAAACAGGGTAAAGTATTTGACTGTCACATTTTCAAATCAAAATTCGTCTTCTTTTCTTTGAATCTTTTTATTCTCATCATGTTTTTTCAAATTGTTTCCATTATAGAAATGATTCGGCTTCTCTTATTGATCTCATCGATCACTCTCTGCTCATCACTCGATCTCGTCTCTCCGCCACGCAAAACTCTCCGCGACGTCCCTCCATTTGCACCGGATTATTGCAAAAATGGCGGAATTCTCGTCAATGTTAGTTCAAACTACCGTAATCATTGGAAAACGCTTTTTTTAAAGCCCTTAAACAGATGCACTTTAAAGAATCGACTATGTTTAAGACTTTTTTCACACTTAGTGAACAAAATTGAAGCGGAAAATCGTTGGGGATGATCCCCAAAAAGAGAACAATAGACAAATACCAAATGAATGCTTGGGAATGACCCCAATTTATGCCCAAAGAAGGGGATTTACGCGCGGATTAACCCCTCTTTTTTTGATCTCACCACAAGTGAATCTCAATTGGGGAACACTCCGGGGGCAAACGGGAAAAGTTGCTGCGTGGCGTTTCTTTTGTGACACTAAACTTGGGTAATTAAACCGCTGGGTAAGGGGTTTCCTGCGGGTTCTATCCGGGCAGTGCGCCAGACGCCGCTTTTTCTTACGAGCGACAGGGAAAGCACGCACAATTGGCTCCATTTAAGACGGCTTTCAGACGAATTTCATACAATTTCCAATATCTAAAGTATCTTTATTTTATTCTAGGGTGAATGTCAGTGCTCATTGCGTTACGAGGGAAAGCAATGTGATCGAGAGAAATGCTTGAATGGCGGACGGAGACATAAAACGAATGGAAAGGTTTGTTAAGGGGTGTACTTTGGTGTACTTTGGTGTACTTTGGTGTACTTTGGTGTACTTTATAGGCCCAGCTGAACACCCTGCATCTGGTGGACTGAATTTCAAATTTTCTTATCAAAAAAAAAAACTTTAGGTGAAGTGTCATTGCCCATTCGGTTTCGCGGGTGAACGCTGTGAGAACGTTACTTTCTGTGAGGCGTCAAAGGGTTTGTTATACGGAAAAACATCAAAAATCTATCTAATTTTTTTATTAGATATCAATCGAACTCAAAAAACAATCTTTAGCAGATCTATTTACGGTTAAAAAGAGAGAAAACGTGAACTAGAGTAGTCTAGTCAAATTAGAGCTAGTCAAACTTGTTGAGCTTAAAATCAACTTTAAATTCATATTATCTAGCCTATTTTTTTGATCTAAATCATTAAAATATATCTAGATTTCTTTAAAATATTTTTATAAAAATTGTAGGAAAATTGGTGAACGGACGTTGCGAGTGTTTGGATCGATGGACTGGTCAATTCTGTCATATCCGCACCTGTTACAATGGAATACCCACCGGTGGAATGGTGTGTTTCTTTTCAAAAAAAAAAAAAACGATTTATGTTTACAATTACAGACGTTTTCTAGATATTCATACATAGAAAGCACTTTGTTTTTCTTTAAATATAAATTTTCTTATTTAGGAGGGCTTCTGTTTATGCGATGTCGGCTACACGGGACCCTTCTGCGACGAGAAACTCATTTGCTTTAATGGCGGCTCAGTAAGCCAGGTAAGTTATTGGATAATTTGCATATATTTAAATACGATTATCTAAATATCAAACACATAATACCAATAAAGAGGTTTAAGTATCAATTTGAGCTTTTAAAAGTTGTTCAAAGCCTTAAAAGCTGTTCAAAGCCTTAAAAGCTGTTCAAAGCCTTAAAAGCTGTTCAAAGCCTTAAAAGTTGTTCAAAGCCTTAAAAGCTGTTCAGAGCCTTAAAAGCTGTTCAAATCCTCCTATTCCCACTGTGTACTTTGAGCTCTTTCATAAACGTTATCTTTCTGAACCTTTTTCTGGTACACCGAGTTTCTCATTTATAAGGGCCATCTAGCTGTAAAATGAATTTCTAGTGTTCCAGAAAATAGACGTTTATTCGAGCACAAAGTACAAAGCAAGGTTGGAGTTAATAGCACAACGTTAGGGTTAAAAAATCAAAAAAAAAAACTGTTTCTTTTGAGAGAAAATTGATTTTATAGGATTTTTTATAGGCTTTATTGATTTTTTTAAATTCTAAAATCCCAGGATAACGAGTGCATTTGTGGACCGGGTTTCGTCGGCGATTTCTGCGAGGATTGCGCGCCAGGACACCACAGAGAGGGAGATCAATGCGTGGCTGAGGTGGAGGAAATTTGTAAAAAGTTTTAAAAACTAGATCGCAGCTAGCAGATAAAAGAATAGTACTTTTTTATCCGAACTGCAAACTCTAAACGAATCCCAGGTCTCCGGTCATCCACTTCTCTCCTCATCAGCCGTCGATCAATTCCCGTGGACGATCATCATGGTGAGGAAATTAAACAAAGGAAACGGCTATTTGATATTTTATTTAAAATTTGATTAGCTAAAGTAAAACTTGATTCGTTTATCGATTTGTATGAGCCGAAAAAAATTTTCATGAGTTGTTCTAAACCATTTTTTGAACCAAGTCAGCCAGAAGCCAGATCCTGGCCTTGCCTGATTTACAGGTCCTAGTTGGAATGATTTTGACTCCCGATTTTGACTTCAAATCAATCTCAATTATTTCTCGCTTCTCAATTATTTCTCGCTCTCAATTATTTCTCGCTTCTCTAGGTTGGCGGTGTCTCTTGCGTGGCAATCATTCTCATCGCACTCTCCGCAATTTTCGGCGTTCGCAAGTGGAAAACGAAGCCAAGCCGAGTGGGCAGTGCGCAAAGCGTTCAAAAGGATCCACAGGTTCGTGGTGGGCAATATTCACTCAACAATACACAAATCTTTCTCTTTCAATCTTTGCACATTGGATTACAGTAATTTTTCTAGAATGGGTGCCTTTTAGAAAGCGTATTTATCGTCAGCTGTGTTTCACCTCCTTTCACCTAAGACGTTTTCTAAAAGTTTGCCTCTAGAAAAGCTATCGTAATCCCAATTTCCTTTAGAGTTACGGTAGCTTTTCCAAAGTGTCTTTTAGAAAACGCACTAGCCAAGAGGAGCACACTTTAACCCTTTTAAACTCATTTTTTTTCCTTTCACTGTCCTTTTCTAAACCTCACCAACTCATTTCCCAAATTTCCAGGGTCAACCGGCCACCGACGTCTAATCTCAACAACTCCTCGTTCAATGCTTCTCTGTTTTCACGAGAATCAAAACATTCTCGAATCGAATTCCACTTCACACATTTTGCTCCCATTGTTTGCCTTCGAGAATTATCGACGCGCCAGGCTGCAGAGTTTGGCCATTGAGGATTTGTGAGACTTTCATTTATCGCATTTTTGTGTTTCTCTAAGGTTTAGAAAAGTTGAACTTTGCAATGCTCTTGAAAAGGTTTTCTAAATGTTTGAGAAACTACCGTATACCAATTTGTTTTCTCACTTAACTGTTAACTTTGAAAAACACTAGTCCACTTGCTTGTCGAAAAAGTTGATGTAAAATAGAAACAAAAGTAGATTGGTAGCGAGTTCTATTTCGAGTTCTACAGTAGCGAGCTCTATTTCGCAACTTTTCTACCATACCCATTTTCTATTTTGCACCAAATTCTATCGATAAGCAAGTCCACTGTCAACTCTTTACCATTTTTGTGTGTTTTAAGATTTTTCGGTGCTTCAATCTATTTTTCACCCACCTCACATCTCTTCCAAAAGCTCAGGTTTCTCAAAAACGCAATTTGAATACCGTATGATCTTCATTACTCTTTTCCAAACCAATTTTATCTACAGGTATCGCCTGATATTGATCCCAATTAACTTAACCAATCATCAAGATTGTGATATTATCTATTTTTATTCGACTTTGCAGTATTTCGCGGTATTTTCCACCGTAACCTCCATTTTTGCCGAAGCTTTACAAGAACTGTATTATCGCTTTGTAACTGTTTATTAAAATTTGATATGATTATTGCAAAATAGAAAACGACACAATAAACGTAAACGTAAACATTACCAGTAACCAGTGAAGCAAAAAGTGGAATTATCAACCATTAAAAATCGTCTATACTAATTAAGAAACCGAGATTTACGAGATTTACGAAATACCAAAGAAAATTAAATTACTTAACAAAAATCTAGCAAATTATCATTTTATTTCATCCTTCTCGAGTTCGGCTCCACAAACGAAAAGCGATGAAGAATCGGGAGAAGAAATCGCGTAAAGTTGAAGATGCGGATGTGATGAAATTCTGGGCGAAGAGGAGGCAAGCTGAAAAATAGCGAAATTTGACTAGAGCATTCAGTTTTACTTGATGGTTTTATTCTTTCAAAAAATTGTTAAAGTTTGAAATCAGCACAATTAGCGAAGGTCTACTTACCAAGTCCGTGTTTGAGTTGACAGTTTGTGGGAGGTGACACAAGGAGAGACGCGCACCTGTCGACACCACGTCGAACACACCGATCTGTTTCCCACCATCGAACACACAAGCCGCTACCTAAGCAATTTACATTTTCCTGTTATAATCATGTTTAATACTGCAATATTCCGTACGGTTTTCAGTTCAATTAGAGCTAATAAAATAAAATCTCTCACTTGTTGTCGTGGATGCAGTGTAGCAAGATCGATTCTCGTGCTCTTTGGTGAGTGGCCCATCAACGAACTTCTGTTTATTTCCAAGTCGATATTTTGTGCTGCAGTCTAAACAGATGCTTTGATGTTTATCAACTCAAGAATAACCTTTGATTTGCGTGGATCATAAATCCTAACATGACCGTCACCATCAAGTACTCGAAGATAAGCTGCATCGGTAATCGAAACGTCGCGAATCTAGATAAATGTTTCATAGTTCAGTATTTAAAACCAACCGATGCCCGAGTATCATGGACCTCCATAACAAGAGAATCCTGTGGGTAGAGGCGTTTGTCATAGACATGCAAGAAGCCATTATTAAAACCTGGACAAAAAAATAGTTACCTAACTAACAATCTGTCTAACCTACCAATAGCTAAAAGTTGGTGATTCTCGATGTTCATCGACATACAACTAATCTTAACAAGAAAATGTTTTACGCTTTATAAAAAAACCACAAACTTTTCCCATCTTTGATTTGGACAGACCAAACTCGGCTATCGACTTCTCGGCTTGAGCATCAAAAAGCCGAACAACCTAAATTAGGAATTAAAAATCTGCTTTATGAAAGTAATACCTTTGCGTTTCCAGCAACAGCTAGCAATCCAGAAAGTTCTTCCCAACTAAAGCATTTTAAATAGATACTAAATTTATGAATTACCAGAAAATGGCAGGGATTGATGATGCATCCTCGTAATCAAATGGCTGTTCTTGCGCTGTGGCCAACGGGTTAAAAGCAGCTACCTAAAAGTAGCAGTTTAAAATCTTTATAGCCCATTAACTTGAAAGCTTAAATAAAATCTCACCAATATAGGCTGTTCGTTTGTCAACCCATCCTTCTTTGTGTTACAATGGGGATCCCAGACACGAAGCGTTCCATTCTTCGAGCCAACCCATAACAGTTCACCGCTCTGACGATTCAACGGACACACCCAGGTAACTTCATCCTAAAGAATACAGTAATTTAAAAGTTCAAGTTACATTCCAAACTAGATAGCTGTACAGCTCACCTCCATGAAATTGTTTCCGCCATATATCCCGAATTTCCTCAAACGAGTTGTCGATGAGCTTCCCAGGTTGTACTCATGAACAAACACCGAAGAACCGTTTGTTGAATAGACTAAACGAGTGAATAATCACTTGTACCTTCAAAAAATTTACTCAATGAGTGCAGCTCTGAGAAAGCAGCAGAAATGGGGCCCTTGCGGTCGAATCGAATCGTGAAACGCGATGAACACATATCATTATTCTAAAATAAACTCGATTCAAGTTCGTACAAAATTTGCTTACATTTCTTCTTCGATCATTTTTTTTCAAAATTTCTTGAATTCCACGTCGTTGTTCAACGCACATCTTCTCCAAGCTCTCCATTCGATTGACTGCCCACAAAGTCGGACATGCTTTCACGTGATGACAATCACTGATTCCATCTTTGTTGTTTGAGCTATTCTAAATAAAATACATAGGTTTGCTAAATTGGATTTACAGCTTCGTTACTGAAACTTACCTTGAACAAGTAAAGAGACGGTCGAGTGAATCGAGCGGCCAATTGATCCTCCATATCACTTGCGAATATCGATCCAACTTTCATCGGCGGGGACATCGATCTTGGGTCGGGGGTCGGGAAGCGAAACTCCGAAGTGCCGGTCCGTCCTTGCTAAAACGATCAATATTAGAATCACTGTAAAATAAGAACCAAAGTTCTTTTCGGAGTGAAAATATGATGGCGAGCTCGATAGGCGTTTTCGTTTTGTGATCGACTCATTGTAGGTGATTGGCACATCGGAGAGCGATATTTTTGTTTCACGTAATCGCAGATTTCTAAATTGCATACTACCCGGCGAATTTTATTTTGAAAATTACCATCACTAATCGCTGAGCTGTACTTCTTTGGAGTTGAGGTCAACGGAACCAAACCGGGATTCCGTATTGAACTTCTTGGTGGTGATTGGAGCCCAGAAGCTTTGATTGGCGAATTTTGCGCCTAAAACGCCAAAATCTAATAGATAGATAACGCACGAGACTTTTTTTTTAACTAAAAGCTCAAAAACCCAACCGAGAACATGCGCCCAGCCATTCCGATTTTCCTTTTAGCCCAACTTTTTGTCTTTGATCGGCTATCTAAACTAATTTATGCATAGTTATCGATATAAATAAATAAATTGCTCACTTGAATCTGAATCTCCTTGATCCAAGCCCCGTAGATCACCATCTTCGGAAGAACTGAACGAATTGCTTGTTTGCCGAGAATTGCTCGATTTTTCTCTGCTATTCGACTCACGTTGAGAAAGTGACCTAAAAAGTTGCATGAGTCTGTGAAGAAATAGTAAAAAAACAATATTGTTGGTCGGCGAATTGCTGAGACATCCAAAGATATTTTTCTGCCCAAGATCATAGAATCAGCCCTAAAAGGTTCAAAGCTGAGTTATTTGATTTAAATGAACCTCTGAACCGATGAAAGCAGTGAAGAGTCACAGGAAGTCTTTCGATTGTATCGAGTTAATGAAGTAGTTTTGTCGGGGCGATAACCCATCTAAATTTTTCAAGGTATTGCTTGCGTCTTTCGTGATTAATGCAAAGTTTTACGCACCTCACATGAAGAGCTTTGACATGATGAGTCGTGATGTATTCTATTGTACCGATGGTCCGTCCACATATCCAGCTCAAATGCTAGCTCTTCAACGTGGCGAACAAGTTGATGGGACAATTGAGTTACCTAAAGGTTTGAAAATAAATGGTTTCCGGTTGATAAATAAAAGGCCTTTTGTAAACCCTCTGAAAATCTGACCTTTAGACTAGGGTCTAAGCACGCTTGTAGCAGGGCCAACCAGGCACGTTGCATCGGAGGCTTGAAGAGTAATCGTTGAAGCTTGGGGATTTGTCCAAGCACACGTGATCGAAACATGCTGTCCTTTATCGTTAACATTATTTTTCCAGATGGTTCGTCATATGTCTAAAACCTGATAGTGCAAAAAAAACAGCGCAAAACTCATACACCATGCGATGAATCGGAATCACCGCTGCTCATTCGACGCCGAAGCCAACCAGATCGATTTACTCTAAACGTTCGATTAGCAATGCAAAGTTAGCTTAAAATTCACTGACAAAGTTGTCCAAAATGAACTGTTCTTGCTGGCGTTCAAATCTATTTTCTCCTGCAAATCTGTTATTGATAGGCAGTTGTTATCTTCCTCATTTTCTTCTGCCAAAATTTCGTCCTAAATATTTACAACTTTTTTAAGGTCAGTTACAAAATTCACCTCCAGTGAAAAATTGCACTCCTTCAATAAGCTCGAACAGTGCTTTGCCAACGTGTCCGCAAAATCGATTACAAAATACTATATAAAATGTTTTTAATAAAACCCTCTCGAGTACCTGTAAGGCCACAAGAGCTTCTTTGCGCACCATTTCAGAGCCATCGAAAAGCGCAGTCTTTGCTATAGCATCCACGAGTTTATGGGCCACCTGAAAAACGACAAATTTTCCAACATTTAATGCCTCAACACTTGCCGTTGTTGCATGTTCATTTGTGTGCGAATGATTCTTCATGAGACAGCCCAAAGCAAAGCAAGCGGCAGCACGATTCTCAGGCACCGAATTCAGCAACTCAGCGAGAACCTAACGTATATTATTTATGCCTATCCAAATTTGTAAAGATATTTTATGTAGCTATATAAATTTACAAGACTAAAACCGTTTTATGTGAGCCATTACGGATCGCTCTCCATCGAGCGTCATTGTTCTCTCGCCAAATTCGGCCTAATCCAATCAATAGCCAAACTCTGAAATTATTGCATAGTAATCAGGTTTCACATATCGTTACCGTTTATCAGTAACTCATGTATAATTCAACTTGCCTCAACAATGGCACCGACGCCGGCCCTGTCATCCTCTGTCGAGCTGAACTTGGTCGTAACAAATCCGTGCAAATTCTCATGTAGTCCCAATCGTAGAGATATCGACGAAACGCTCTAAATTGAAAAGAGATACATTCGTGCAATATTTCATACGAATTTCTCGCATTCAGAAGCTCGGCAATGATGTAGGCAGCAGGCACTTTCTGTCTTGATTCGATTCCCTCTTCTAGCAACATCTCGAGAAAATATCTAGCTCTAAATCGAAATTTAAAGCAAAAGCTTATACAATTACCCAAATGCATTCGGACGAGATTTGTCTCCAGACTCCAGAAGCCAACTCTTCATCGACGGATCGATAGAGATCAACTTTGCCCAAATGAACGCCATCCATGGCTTCAAGTCTCTAAACAGAAAGTTTTATAACAAACGCAGCATGTATTTAAACCGCTGCGACTCGATGAGCAGAGCCGCGATATATTGAGGCATTCCGATTTCAACTACATGCCCAACAGCCCAATCACCAAAGTCCAGGAAACGAGCGATCAACTCAAGAGCACGGACACGATATCTCTAAGCAACCATGATTGCATAGGAACATTAATTTATAACAAACCGCCGAAAGAATCATTTGCAACAAGATCGGAAACTGTTCGGGCGGCTCTTTATCACAACTCGTTCTCAGCCAAACATTTATCGCATCAGCTTGATGATCGAAGAAGTCAAAACAAAGTCCCGTCTGATCGTGCACCATCATCATTTCATATTCAACCACTAAACAAAAATAAATTAAAATTATAAAAGTAAACTAACAATCTTTATCGGATGGAGCTTTTCGCAATATTGTGTGACCGTAAAGAAGGTTTTCTTCGGAATTGCGCACAAGCTTGCAGTCCCACCAAGAAATCACCTCTGCGAGACATTTGTCGAATGAATTCCAAAGTGGGTGATCTGTAATAATCAAATCTTGACAAGTATAGAAAAGGTTAATGTTTTAAACTCCCGAGGCATCAATTTCCTAATTTACCGGACATCCTAGGGAGGGTTGGAAGTGATTGAACGTTGCACCCAAACTTCCGCATCACTAATTCAGCGACCAGAAAATTTCGACTTAGTCCTCCAATCAATGGATCCTAAAAACCACGGTTGAGATAGCTTGAAAACAGAAAACACACAAACATTTCTAAATAGCCGTTGGAAAATATCAGTTGGCAAAAAGTTCCAAGCGATCGTGTCAGTAATTGATTGAAGAATCCAAGTCAGTTCACCAAGTAAAGTCTGTCGATTATTCGCGTCGCCGAGCAGCATTTGATTTAGATTAAATTTCTTGCGGTTTCCATTTGTCAGAAGAAAACTGAACCAACTAAGTCTCAACTTAAAAATTATTTACAGTTTACCATTCAAAGTAGGCGAAGACCGGTTTTGTCATGCAATACGTAAAGAGATCAGCCGGAAGTCGTGAATCAGTTGGTAAACGTTCACCCTCGGCGCAGGCAGCAAAGTGAATACAATTCTAAATAGTTTAAAGATTAACAAAAATCCAGCCAAATACCTCAAAGTTAGGCGGATCAGAAAAGTGAAACATTTTTGTTTCCTCTCGAAGTGACGTGTTGCTGGTGATGTGCGGTCTTGCTACATTGAAGCGTTCTTTGTGAAGGAAGTATTTATATTCCCAGGACCTGAATGCTTCGATGATTTAAAAGTAAATTAGTGGTATCACTGGCTCAACAATGGTTCACTTACTGGAAATGTTTTTCCGCGAAGTGCTTGAAGCTGTTTATACAAGTCCCGGCCGATGCGGTGTCCCAAATGTATGCACACGGAGCGTCCAACAACACTTGCAACTCCTCGATCGATAGCGGCATGTATGTGAGGCTTTTTTCATTTTCATCAAAGAACTAAAAACAAATTACAGCATAAGGTTAAAAAGTACTTACATAAATTTGCCCACACGGAATTGGGAGTGGAGGTGGTACCCCATGGCCATTGTAGTAGAGTAGCACCCTCTCCCGCTAAAAATTATCAAACCAAATCATCAAAATTCGCTTAAGTGATAAAAATATACTTTATCACTGTAAATTCTTGACAAATTGCTATGAAACTCACTCCAGCAGAGTGCCGAATCCGTCCGCAGGCCTGTTTGAAATCATTGATAGGTGGTTTCTTGTAGAGATGAATTCTAAATAATAAAATACCATGAATTGTTTTTAAAGAAATAAAAAAACCTCGCTTTTGTGGTCATAGAAGCAAACGCTGCGCGGAGATTCTCACAAACAAGATCAAGCGCCAAATTTGGAGAAGTAGATTTTGTGTCGATTCCCGCTTCCACAAAGGGTTTCTTCGTGGGTAGAATCCCGACCTCAGGATCGATTCCTAACAGTTAAGAATTAAAGACAAATCTAGGAAACAAATGTAAATCATTCTCACCAGGGTTCAACGCAACTGCAATGATGATGTTCGTTGTTGTGATGAGCTTGCGTTCCGTGTTCGTCGATGTTTTTCTTGTTTGATGTGACGCTTCATGGTAATCTTCGTCGTCGTGCCTTGCCTCATGATAGTATCTCGGAACGAGTTTCTCCGATTTCTAAAGTTTAATTTTAACCGTGTAAACTCTCAGGGAAGCACAATAATGTGTAAACTCTTTAACCACAATTTAACCGTGCAAACTCTCAGGGAAGCACAACCTGCTGTATCAATTGTTCCGATTCGGCAAGTGACATTTCAATCGATGGGATTCGCACCATATCCTGGAAGAAAAATATGCATGGTTTTCCGTAAAATTTAAAATTTAACGAAATTTAACAAGCTCGTAGCAAGACTTAAATTAGTCACCAAACGAATATTCTTTAAGCGAGGAAAAACAAAATTTCTTACCTCTCCATCTCCCCCCTCGAGTAGGTGATCATCGAGTAATTGGAGCTCGTATCGATGAGAATATTTTGAAGTTCTTTGCAGCATCTGAATAATATAATTAGACAGGCCTGGTTAAAATGACACTAAATCTGATCAAACGATGAATAACAATGCATTGCAAGTTCGTAAATTAGCAAGAGACGATTTGAATAGACACCAATCCACCGAGATGTGCGCAAAGGTTCTCTATGACCTTTCGGGCCAATGTTAAAGCACGTTAAATAAGTAGCATACAAGATTCTCCGCAAATAGAGAACCCATTCATCTTTCAGAATTTCTGTTTCACCGAACCTTATGGCCAAGTACAGTCGAACCCTTTGGGTAGCTTTTCAGCTTCACTACAGAAATCTACTGCAATTTTCATCAGAAGTATATTTCACACAATCTTGTCTTTAATTGAAACACCTTTATGCAGCATGAAATATCACAAAATGAAAAGTAATCACAGGAGAAAATTTAGTTTTCTTTCTTTGGTGGGCAGGTGCAGAAACCCTTGTTGCATTTGAGGCCGGCGCATTCATCTTTCTTGCACGACTTGGCGTTGCAGAAGTCCTGAAGGGCATTGAGGACGGTTGGATAGCCATGTTGAGCGAGTGCCTAAATAGCTACAATTAAAATAATGTCATAACAACTTCTAAAATACCCCAAAGCAGTCGCAGGCCTTCTTTGTTGTGTTGCAGGCTCCCTGAAGTCCGCCACAAGCCGCATCAGAATTGCAAGGCAACGCGGTGATGCAAGCGTTGCAGTTGCATCTAAACAACAAAGATTGCTATGAAACTATGGCTAATTAATTGCAAAGAAAATTCAAAGCAACTCACTTGCCAGGGAAGAAACCAGCGCAAGTTCCGCCATTGCAGTCATCGCTGTCCTCACATTCAGCCAAGATTGTGCACGTCTTGTTGACAGGAGTTGATCCAGTAGTTGTTGTAGTGGTTGGCTCCAAAGTGGTTCCGGCTTCAGCTTCTTCGGTGTCGCGGCGACGGCGGTTGTTCCCATCTTGATCCTCAAGGAGTTCTCCAATCACCTAAACAAAAAACTCTCATTGAATGGTTTTTGCGTTACACTAAAAACTTTCTACCTGGGTATAATGTTAAAATTCTTTACCTCGATGAGTTTGATCCCGGATCCCTCCACTTCAATGATCCGCTCGATCTCGACGGTTTCACCACTCAGGCCGCTTCCGTTGTCGTAACCACTTCCGCCATCGTAGGAAGAGCGCATATCAATGCACGAGGCGATCACCACAAGGCTGGCAATGACAAAGAGTTTCATCTTGAATGCTCGACCTAAAAAAATATAGAATGGCAAAAACTGAAAGGAAAACAGGTGAATGAGCAAAGACAATAGAGACTAGTGCAAAATTGAGTACATCAAAACAAATCTAGACAAGACTAACGGGAAAACTCAAAAAATTATTTGGGAATTACTTGATCGGAGTCAGAAAGTGCAAATGAAATCTTTGACCAAAATTTGGCTTCGATAGAGCCTACCGTAACCAACAACTGAATATCTCCGACATCAGACAACATAAAGTGTCCATGATTTAGAATGCACAAAACTTGGGATAAAGAGGATTTTAGAATTATACTTTTGAAGTACCGCCCCTTATGGGGACACTTGGGGGCGGTACTTCAAAAGTAGATTTAGAATGCAGAAAAGCCTGTATTGATAAAGACTCAAGACTATACTTTCGGAGTACCGTCTTCCAGTGTTTCCCTAGTCCCCCCGGGGGGGACGGGGGACCTGTGTATTTTTTGTCATTTGTTGACAACTTTTACTATTTTGCGCTAAATTTCACAACAATCTTGTATTTTTGGTTTTGTGCTAAACAAATGCCAGCGGCGCTGGCCCAGCGCATTCAACAAAAACAAAAAAGACGCGATTTTTCTCACCAGCCAAAAACCCCAAAGAAGTCAACAATGAGAACAATGCAGATACTCCATGTTTTACTCCATGTACGCCATGTTTTTTAGCTTTTTTTTCAAATTCAATTTGTTTATACTGTTCGATCGTAATGTTCTTTTTTAGATGCTCCAAAAATGATGAAGAAACAACGACGCGCATGCCCAGAAGGCACCAAAGCGCGAGGAAAACTACGAAAAAGGAATCAGAAGAACAGCACGAGGTAGAGGTATGGTGTTGCTTTTGTATATAGTATGTTCTAAAAAATAATTTAAATTGTTTTTAGGAAACTACTACGTTGCACGAATGAATTAAAGAATTAAATTAAAGATCTTTTAAAGTCTTCAATTGAAGAAATTGAGTGAAACGGGCGACAAAGTTGCTCGAATAGTCGAAAGTGTGCTCTCAAAAACTGGTTTGCCCGGGAAAGTCGCTACCATAACGTCAGACAGAGGAGCAAATATGAGAAAAGCAACAAACATTCTCAACTTAAAGAGGTAAGTTGCTTTCATTTGCTTATCTCACAAAGAAATAGTTTAGCGTTAGTTGTGGTGCTCACCTTGTACATAATGCAGTACAAAACATAAACGGGTGGACCCGATTGACAATTTGCTGCAAAAGATTCGTGAGTTTTTGAGAAAGATGGCAAGAAGTGTGGCAATCTGGACTAAAAAAACCAACTTTGAAAAGTTGGTTTTTTTACTATTTTATTTGTAACTCACTAAACTAGGCTAACTAAGCGTCGCAAACTACGAATTGGCCTGTCAACACGATGGGATTCAATGTTCGCGATTTGTGACTACATTTACAGCGTTGGCTACTTTAACTCTATTTATTTAGTACGAAATCATTGTCGAACTTGGTGCACACTTTGCAATAACTTCCAATGATGTGTTGTGTTTGAGAGCGCTGCGAACGATGCTATCAATTTTCAACTACCCTAAAGTCGCGAGTATAAGTTCTGTTTGGTTTTCGCATGCAAATTGACGGCTGTCTCCGGTGCGGTGTGTCGAGGGTTCGAACCCCGCTGCAGCATAACTTTTTTGCTTTTTAAGAACAATAATAAAAGTTTATATAACAATAAAAATGTATAAAAACCCAACAAAAAGAAATTCAAAGCAATTAAAGCGACATAAAAAAGAATTCTGTGCTTAGCTTCGAAACTGTTTCATCCGTCAAAGCGCTTCGAAATCCTTTGATAATGCAGGAAGAGGGGACCGCATCGAAACTTTTCCTTAACCATTCCGAAACTGTCTCGTAGCTCGCTCTCTTTTTTCGTCCCGATAGGGTAAATTGGTCGTTTCGGCTATCGGACATCCATTCTTCCCAGTGAGCCTTTAGATTGTCCTTGAATGGCTTATTGACGCTGATGTCAAGCGGTTGTAGAAATTGAGTTAGCCCTCCTGGAATCACAGCCAGCTTCGAGTGTTGCTGAATTTCAGCCTTGACATTATCGGTTAAGTGACAGCGAGCTGAGTCCAATACGAGCACTGATTCTTCGGATTTGGCCGCCGGATTTGCTCTTCGCAACCAAATTTCATCGATCCACTTCTTCATCACTCCAGAACCCATGCCTTCAGATCTTTCTCCACATCCGGTCATTTTGCCCTCAATCCTCGGAAAGCTCGCTTATTTTTTGGTGAAGTCATCAGTGCCGGCTCAGCTTGTTTCCAGCGGTTAATCATCTGTTCGGCGACTTCAAATTCGATCGCAGCCGCGTTCGTTCCAAATTTCCTCGCAAATTTGACCGCTTCGAGCTTCGTTTCGGCGGTGTACGACTTTCTCCTCATCGTATCTAAAATGAAAAAACGTTAGTAAAATAAAAAAAAAACAGAAAAAACAATAAAAATTAAAGAAAGAAGAAAATTTTCCATCAGAGCCCTTTAAATGTAAATTAAGGCAGAACTTATACTCGGATGAACTTATACTCGAGACTTTAGGGTACATGACAAAAATGGTATTTGATATTTACTGCTCAATGATTCTTTGTTTAGTTGTTTGCAGAGAATGCCCACATAAGTACAACTCTGGGGCTTTTTAAGTGAGGTGAAGATCGTATTAAAGGGCCTGTTTCCACTCGCATGAAATTTTTGGCCCCGACATTACTCCAAAACTGGAACTTGAAATTAATTTATAATGTTTATTTAACAATACAATTTTAGTTAACTACTTATGAGGCAACTGTAACTTCTGGTGTTGCTAGCAACGTTTCTTTGCCTTATTTTTGGATAATGCGACAGGATAATGCCATCATTTATGGGGGCAAAAGAGGACGTTTACTACCTTCTATTGTTGGGATCACTTATTTCGATTCACGACGTAAATTTTGGCGATATTGTTGTTAGGTATTTTGATAAAGTGTTTTATTTATTATAGTTTCCTTTTAAATTTTCGTTTTCACTGTGCAGTTTACCTTGCTACTTTTTAAAGAAAAAATATAAACTTTCTGTATGTGCGTCTGGGCTCTACCTGAAAAATATCAGAAACATTCGTTACAAATTGCGTCGATAAATTCGGAAAACGCTTAAAAAAGTAACTCTGAAAGTATACCCAATGCATCACCCTACCGCAATCCCTATATAGGTAATTGACTTTTGAAGGTATCGATTAAGCTATTGAAGTGATTACTGTATCCATTACTGTACTGTTCTTTTACATCACATTTCATGCTCTCGGTCTTTTGGCAATAAGCATTTACCATTTACCATTTACCAAGTCCAGAGAACCTTCTACATTTTCCGCACCCAAGTGACTATTTTGCTTTACACTTCTAAATCCCTTTATTAATGCCGCCATAAATAATAGTCACGAGATAAGAGAAAACGATTCGAGAGACAGAATTGAGGACAGGCACAATTATAAAGCAACAATGCACAAGAAAAAGACGAAAGAGTTCAAGTTCGCGTAATAAGGCATGTTAACCAGACATCAGAAATAAAATACGAGATATGTGGTGATACTTGGATTCAATTATTGATGGGATGGAGGTGTGGTTGATAGACATTTCCCTTGATGATCGCTTTCTTGGCTTCAACTCCCGCGGGTAAGCATGCGGAAGCAGTGGCACCGAACCGAGCAGTTGAAGCAGAATTTCCCGTCTTAATCAATTCACGCGCACCGAGACGCATTTTCACCTAAAATGCAAGAATTATTGTGAATTTGCTCATGTTGTCTAAAAGCCTTAAGCCAGATATTAGAGAAAATGGTACTCTGAATAGCAATCCATCATTTGTTTGAAACACTTGCACGGAGGGATTCTCTGCTGGCAGGGGCTTTTTCTGAGCGGAAGGTGATGCTCGAGGCTTGCCTAAAAATAAAACGTTTAAGTTTTCTGATTCACCGAAAGTCTTAAAAGCTCACCACATCCATGACACTGTCTATGATGTTCACGACGCTTTCCCGGATCGAGCAATGTCGTAGCCATAGTACCTAAAACGAAAAGTGGTCAACTACCGAAATTTCCAAAAATATGCACCTGCTGCCGAAACCGCACCAGCCGAGAGTTCATTGTAATTGGTAGTCGCGTAAGTAGAAGTAGCTAAAATGCATTGAATTGAATTATCAACAGAACACTCACAATCAAAATCTTGAGACGTTTGGCTGCGTGGCTCAGGAATGGGAAACTTCCTGCAAGGGCGAGCTTCTAAATAAAAAACTATCACTTTAAATTTAAAAACAGACTACTTTTTGCGGCACGAATCATCGATTTGTCTTGCGGGGGCGGTTTGGGCAGGTTCACTTTCTTGTAAAGGTGTGGCTCTAGAAAAAAAAGAAATAGACATTCTAATCTTTCTAAATTCTAACTAACATGATTATGTGATTAAAGATTACTTTTTGCTGCAGAATTCGAGCCATACATGGGTCCGGCTGGTGTGCCGAGGCGTTCTGGAGTGCGGAGCAGAGGCTTCTTGTTGGGGTGAGTTTCTAAACCGAAGGAATTATTAAAGCTTTCAAAACCTACTTTTTGCAGAGCGATTTGCCGAATGTTTTCTACTGGTCGAGCTGCCACTATTGTCCTCTGTCAAAGCTCGACCTATTCCTCGTCTAAATGAAGCAAATTTTTTATAAAAGGTACAAAATTTTCTTTACCCAATTGCCTCATTGTCGCTGATCTCCAAGGCGGTGGGGTGTCCAGAAGAACAACCGGTCAAACTTGGCAACAATGGAGCCTGGGAGATGCTTCCCAATGGCTAAATACATCACTGTCATTAAAAACTAAGCACTATTACAGTTATTACTTGTCCTCGAGCCTGTTGATTTGGATACACATGCGTTGGAGCGGCACCAGGAGGACGATAGGGCGACATTGATGAACAATTCGTTGAATAGGGACGAGCCGTCGAGATGGGTTGACTGCCATTTGGAGTGCCTCGAGACTGAAAAGAAACAAGTAAAATACGGAAAATCATCCAAGAATAAAACGTAGCTTTGACCCACCATGCTGCGACCACGAGATGTAGTTGAGACCATCGAGCGCGAGGTTTTTGCGGTAGATGGAGTCGAAGTAGACCTAAGCCAAAAATTGAATTGGAATATAATATTCAGAGAGTAAGATTTCGATACGATACGATCATAAAATTTCATAGAAAGTTCGTACTTGCCAGTGCGATTCGTGGCTGGAGTGTGTCGACCGGGTGTCCTCGAACGATGTCCGCGTGAAGCTCCACGCGAAGCTGAATCCAAATGGGAAGCCGTCATCGATAGTTGAGTGGTGGCCTCAAATAAAAAGACAATAAATAATACTAATTTTTTTAAATCACCGTATTTATGCGATATTGACCAAACGAGGTCGAACGGGCCGTCATCATCGAATCGCTATCCCAAAGAATGGCGGTTGGAGCGGAGTCTTCCAAAAGCGATACCTCCTGAACAAAGGTTAAGAAACTTAAAAAACCATTTTACCGTTGCGGTTCTAACATCAGGGTTATCGGAAAGTTGTGCGCCTAGTCGATTGTTAGTTGGCCCTTCGAGGCGATTCATAGAGACACCGGTACGAGCCGAAACCTTTTGCTTGGACGAAGTGGAGAGGATAGGCACTGGCTTGGGCACACGGGAGCGAGAAGAGCGGTCACTGAAATATTCACATTGAGTGTAAGTGCAAGTTTTTGAAAGAAACCTTGAAGCACAAGTGGTGGCCGGAGATTGAGCCGTTTTTACGGATGGAGAAAAGGCGGTCGGGCACATCGAAATACGGTACCTAAAATTAAAGTTTAAGGCGAACTCAGCTTTAGAAACTCACATTGGACTGGCGTCCCGACATGAGATTGCCGTAGCAGTGTCGAGGGCACTATCGCTCTTGATGCTAAATAAAAAAATGATCATAGTATTATAAAATGGGAAAATGAAGGAAGCAAAAATTACCGCGTCATCTTTGGAACTAACTTTAAAGCGTCCGAATAAAGGATTCAAAATTCCAAAGTACGTAAAGTTAATGCAAAAGAACTAAGGTAAAGTAAAAAGAAGCAAATCCAAAACCCACCGAGTGTGTTGTCTGTCCATGAACGAAAGATGAGAAACAGTTCTTCCGATTTAAACAGCGTTAAATTGAAATTTTTGTGACCCAAATGCCAATTTTTAGTTTGACAGCGCCAAACCAAATGAAACCCTTTCGGTGGCCTTTTAAGCCTTTCCTTTTAGCGCCCTCAAGTTATTTGTCCCGCAACCAGATAAACCTAATTCTATGGATTATACTTCATACGAAGCACATCCTTGTTCGAGTATAAGTAGATAGACACAGCGAGGTGTCTTCGCGGGTTTTTTACTTGTGGCATGATTTTGTCTTTAATTGAAACAGCTTTATGAAGCATGAAATATCACAAAATGAAAAGTAATCACAGGAGAAAATTTAGTTTTCTTTCTTTGGTGGGCAGGTGCAGAAACCCTTGTTGCATTTGAGGCCGGCGCATTCATCTTTCTTGCACGACTTGGCGTTGCAGAAGTCCTGAAGGGCATTGAGGACGGTTGGATAGCCATGTTGAGCGAGTGCCTAAATAGTTACATTCAAAACAACGTCATAACAACTTCTAAAATACCCCAAAGCAGTCGCAGGCCTTCTTTGTTGTGTTGCAGGCTCCCTGAAGTCCGCCACAAGCCGCATCAGAATTGCAAGGCAACGCGGTGATGCAAGCGTTGCAGTTGCATCTAAACAACAAAGATTGCTATGAAACTATGGCTAATTAATTGCAAAGAAAATTCAAAGCAACTCACTTGCCAGGGAAGAAACCAGCGCAAGTTCCGCCATTGCAGTCATCGCTGTCCTCACATTCAGCCAAGATTGTGCACGTCTTGTTGACAGGAGTTGATCCAGTAGTTGTTGTAGTGGTTGGCTCCAAAGTGGTTCCGGCTTCAGCTTCTTCGGTGTCGCGGCGACGGCGGTTGTTCCCATCTTGATCCTCAAGGAGTTCTCCAATCACCTAAACAAAAAACTTTTATTGAATGGTTTTTACGTTACACTAAAAACTTTCTACCTGGGTATAATGTTAAAATTCTTTACCTCAATGAGTTTGATCCCGGATCCCTCTACTTCAATGATCCGCTCGATCTCGACGGTTTCACCACTCAGGCCGCTTCCGTTGTCGTAACCACTTCCGCCATCGTAGGAAGAGCGCATATCAATGCACGAGGCGATCACCACAAGGCTGGCAATGACAAAGAGTTTCATCTTGAATGTTCGACCTAAAAAAATATAGAATGGCAAAAACTGAAAGGAAAACAGGTGAATGAGCGAAGACAATAGAGACTAGTGCAAAATTGAGTACATCAAAACAAATCTAGACAAGACTAACGGGAAAAATCAAAAAATTATTTGGGAATTACTTGATCGGAGTCAGAAAGCGCAAATGAAATCTTTGACCAAAATTTGGCTTCGATAGAGCCTACCGTAACCAACAACTGAATATCTCCGACATCAGAAAACATAAAGTGTCCATGATTTAGAATGCACAAAACGATTTTTTCTTTTTAAGTTTGTTTTTGTTTCCAGTAACTTTTTAAATTTTCGTGTTTTTTTGAAGCAATTTTACACTGTGGTGCAAAAGTCTTGTCCTACTTACTTTTCTGAAACATTATGTCAAAATTCTAAAATTTTTCGAAAACAACTTTTCAAGTAACGGGTTTTTTTAGTAGCTTATCCCTTGATCTTTTACTATGTAAATGCCCGTACTCCAACAATTTGTTGTTTTTAAAAACCTTTTTTTCGTAGAACTTGAGCAAAAAAGGTGGTGCAAAAGTCCTGTCTCACTAAGAAAATTTGTATTTTCTCCATGTCTTTGTTTGTTCTCATGATTTTTTTGTATTATATTTTTATTTTTAGATGTCGACTCGCTAATATTTATCAACTCCTGATAAGCAAAAGATCGTGCAAGCAAAGAAATATGGATATTCATCACCGTCTAGTGCGATGCTCTTCAAATGCAATAAAAGGACGGTGAATCGGCTAGCAGCAAAATCGGAAGCAGGCCAAAGTCTTCATAGAGCTTTGAAAAGTGGTCGTCCACCGATTACAACAAAAACTGAAGATTGAGCACTTATCATTGACCGTAGAATCGACCCGAATCTGACTTCGAGCTATGGAATCATGAAGTTGAAGGCCATGTCTAACAAAAATATTTCTCGATGGAGCATCAACCGTCGCTTGATTCGAGCAGGATTGCATGCAAGAAAACCAGCAAAACGACCTTTGACCATTGCAAAAACTCGGAAGCTGAGATAGGATTTTGCAAAGAACTACGAGTGTTGGACTTCCGATGACTGGGCCCAAGCCATTTTCACCGATGAGACTAGAATTAATTTATACTACCCGGACGGTAACCATTTAATCAGAAGACCAATTGGACAACGTTATAAGCTCAAATACGTTAAGCCAACGGTCAAATTCGGTCGGTGGGGAGTATTATGTTGTCGGGTAAGTGTTCGCCTTACGATTTGTCTTTTTTTAGGCTCGATGAATCGAAGTGTATCGGGACCGCTAGTGTTTATCAATGGAAATCTCGGTCCAAGTCAATCATAGAGAACAACTTACTTCCATTTGCAAACACGAACATGCCACAAGGATGGGCCTTATATCAAGACAACGCTCCATGCCACAAAAGCCAGCTAATGATGGGCCGAGTTGTCCGACTTGCAAATGGAGGAAGAGCTCGCCTACCCGGCGTTTTTGCTACTTATCGTGTAAAAGTAAAATTGATCAAAGTGCCTACTTATTCGCCGGATTTGAATGTTATAGAGCATCTTTGGGCCTATCTAAAGACTAAACTCAGGGGCAAGATATTCAACACAAAGGTCGAGCTTTGGTTCTTTATCAGAAACGTTTGGCGACAAATTTCTTCGGGAATTCTACGTGGTTTGGTCGATTCAATGCCGCAACGTATTCAGGCAGTGATTTTGGCTAAAGGAGGACCGACAAAATATTAATCTAGCTTACCTTTTTTAATGGTAGGACAAGACTTTTGCACCATAAATTTTTTGATTTTAAACTTTATTTGTTATTTTCTTTTAGGTAATAAATTTTTTAAATCTAAAAACTTTTTTATATGAAAGCTTACAACTTAGGGTTCAGAAAAACCCTTTTACTTAAAAAGTTCTTTTCGAGAATTTTTAGAATTTTGACAAAATGTTTCTGATTTTGCACCACAGTGTATTATATTTTTTGAAAATGCTTCAGTTATACGAAATTTCAACCTAAAAACCTTTCATTTTTAACTTTCAAAGAAACTTTCTTTTCTCAAAATACCCATTCTTTTCTCGAAAGTCAAAAATCGGCTCATCTTTCCCTCACGAAGCCCCAATATCTTTTTTGTCTGTTGTTGAGTGGGGAAAGGGTTCTTGTGTAAAGTTTAACCCTAGGTCACCTCTAGGTGAAAAGACGCCGGAAAGCCGGAGACAACAACACGCTCACAACACTTGTTTTCTCATTAAATATCTTTTAATTCGAATTTTCTTATAGAATGACCCTCCAACCGTATTTCGAAAGAGCCCCGTCGATTCTCTTTAAGCCAGATGGGTCGGTGCTCTTTGAGTGTTTATGCAATGGGAATCCTGAACCGGAGATCAAGTGGTAAACTTTGATTTTCTATTGATTTTATTGCCCCAATATTGACCAATATTGATTTTTTTTGACCCATCAGCCTATTGTAATCCCTACATAAGTAATTGACTTTCGAAGGGATCGATTAAGCTATTGAAGTTATTACTGTATCCATTACTGTACTTTATTGATTTTACACAGTATTCACAAGATTTACAAAGATAAAAAGTCTAAAGCTTAAACTTTTCAGGCTCTTCAAAGACAAAGAGTGTGTCGGCGAACGGTATGTGGCGAAAAAGAAGAAAATGGTTGGAAAATATACGTGCACGTTGCAAATCAAAGTGAGTGAAGATCAAAAAAGAATTCAAGAACTTTGTCAAATATTTTAAAAACCCAGTTTTCCATCTCACTATCAGTTTTTTTTTGCAGAACCATGCTTCAGAGCTAACTACTCGAAAAGCATCAACCTGCAAGCTTTACTGACACTGACAATCCAGAATAAAATATGTAAAATCTTCAAGGACCAAAATTGAATATTCACCAAGTTTTCAAGAGAACATATTCAGTTTTGGCTCTTGAATGGTTACTTTGGTTTGCTAGTAAGTCAAGATACAAATCCTTATAACTTTGAGCTTCTAATTGTTTCTAAACTTTGAGCAAACTTTGAGCACAAAGTAAGGACAAAGAAAAGCCATACAATATCTTGAAGCCAAATCAACCTAGTGCTCAATAGTATTTTGACCTTAAAAATTGGAAACACACCTTTCTGGTGCACAAAATCATTGAACTTTTAACGAAAATGAATTATCGGTGAACTAGAAATGGCGTGTTTCCACTACAAAGCACAAAGTGCAGCTTCACAAATGTAAATCCCCATTTCCAGAATCCATCCCAAGCCGATCAGGGTGTCTACAAAGTGACCGCAACAAACAATCGTGGCACTCATTCAGTCGAACAGCCTCTATCTCTCGTCCAAGTCGGCAAGGAGGTCTTCAAAACGCTCGATTAGTGCTAAATATTCAAAACTTTTATATGTTATATTTAACGCAGAAAATTTTGACAATAAATTTCCTCATTGCTCATAAATTTCCGCCCGTCTTTTACCGATCATCGATCAAATTCGTGGGATTTTTTCACGTTCCAAGTATTTTCTCCATTTGTCAGCTGATAGAGATTTCCAATCAATCCATCATTTTACTTAAAAATATGAGAATTTTTGAGATTTTTAGAGATTTTTGAGATTTGAATGAACTCTACAGTCAAAAATTGATGCTTACAAAAGTTCTAGTGTAAGTTTACAAAAGAGCTACTCTAAAAGAGTACCAAAGTTTAGTTGAAACTAATAAAATTGAAATCTCATTGTCAGCAACTCCAAATTTGTTCTGTTACAAATTTTTTCGAACAGTCATATGACTCTTTTGTTAGCAAAAAGTCGGAAAAGTTCTCGAAAAATCTCGATTTCATTTGAAAATGTAACGAGAGATAGCAAAAACGTTCCGTTTCATTTTATTTTTAGGCAGACAGGCAGGTGAATTGAATTGAAAATTGATGTTTGATTGGTTTTATCAATAGTTAGTAATAGATTTGATTGGTTTTATCAATAGTTAGTAATAGATTTGATTGGTTTTATCAATAGTTAGTAATAAATTTGATTGATTTTATCAATTATTAGTTATTTTTAGATTCGTTTGACGGCCGCTTTGTGCTCAAATTCGTAAAAACACCCTTCCTGTCGCACGGGATTCTGCATTTTTCTTGTGAACTAACTCATTGACGCAAGAAAAATGAAGGAAATAAAGAAAATGAAGGAAATGAAGGGTTGTATGTATGCTTTTTAAGCACAAAGTACACCGTACTTCATTGTCATGAGAAAACTTAAGATTTCAGTGCGCCAGGAAAGATGTGCTTCCAATTTGAACACAAAGTGCAACAAAACTCAATAAAAATTTGACCAAAAAACGAAAATCCATCAAATTTCAATCTTTCTTTTCCCCAAAAATTCTTTTCACATGATCTAAATGAAGAAAAAATTCACCAATCCACAGCAAAAAGATGACTCCAATAAAACCATGTGGTTATCAAATTGAGAAAACCTTTTTTTTTGCGTCTCCCAAAAAAAGAATTGAACTATTGCACTGGGGAAATACGAAAAAACAAACATAAAATTTCACACAGATTTTTACACAGATATTTCATTTTTCATTAACTACAAGATTTTTGTACAACTATTAGAGACAATAATACCTTTTGGTTCATTTATTATTCGGTATAGCTTTTGATGTATTCATGATCAGATTTAATATGACAGAATTTGACGCTAAGTCTGACAATGTCCTTTCTTCACCCTGGGCTACAGTACCCCAAGCCAAAAGCAGCCGGGGTAATGTAGCTTGAGCACCATTTTTAGAAAAATCTTCTATTATAAAGACTTTTAATATAAAGACAAGCTAAGTGATGACTTGATTAAAGTGTAAAATAGGAAACAAACTTTGAAAGTTTTCTAATATAAAGACTTTTTAAAGTTCTAAGTTCTAAGTTTTCTAATTTTAGCTTTTCTCAGCTTATCCGTTTCCTAAAAGATATCTATTCAAGATATTCCTAAAAGATATCTATTCAAGATATTCCTAAAAGATATCTATTCAAGACAAACTACCGTAACCTCGCTAGTTTTCATTCGATCAGCCCAATTTTTGTATCATTGACTGAGTCTTGTGATTTCTCATCGAATGATATCAAAATTCAAGTTGATCAAATGAAAACTAAAGGCTTTCTGACGATAGTTTGTCTAAAATAGATATCTTTTAGAGGAATTGAATGTATTTTACTTGATTCTGCTTAGCTTTTCTCTTTTTTATTGTTACGTGAAACTTAAAGAGAAACAGCTGACTGTGATCTCATCGATCTTTTTCCGGATCGGTTTCCCTTGTCAAGTGAAAAATGGATCCCGTTCAAAAATCTCATGCTTTACAAAAAAAGAAGAGAAGATTTAGCGCAATTTCTCTAGAATTTTTGAAACACAGATTTCAAAATGCAAAATAGCTACTGAATTTGATATAACTTCTTGCTAAATAGATCTTTTCCAATATTTATCTCAAATCCTGAAAAGCTACGATATTGATGGATACGGTATTTGAGCCCGGCATTGATCTTTTTGAGTTCAGCACTTGTAACTACTTGATTACAGTATTGCTTTTGTAGAGTACGAGTAAGAGTACGGCTTTGTAAAGTCCGATTTTGTTGCTGAATAAGATACTTATCCCGCTGCAGTCAAGAAATGACAAAAAATTACTGTGAAATTTTTAAACAGTCCCTATTCCTTTTTCTAGGTTTCACATAAAATTTTACTTCTTTTTCCTCGTATTGAGTTAGAAAGGGTGTCAAATTTCGAACATACACCTTTCTCTTCTCTAAAATTTCTTTAACCAGAGTCAATCAAAAGAGGTGATAGTGGATGTGAAAAGGAAAAAAAAAGAAAAAAGAAAAAGAATACGAACAGATCACTTGAATCTTTCTCTATCCTTTCAGACCTGAGAATTTCTGAAACTTTATCCATTTGAACTTTCTCTTTTCTCCACCCTCAACGATGATCAAGTAAAGCAAAGCAGTACACAGAATAGATATTTTTCTACCGTAATCTTACACTCTAAATTAAAGGATACATTGTGATAAACTACCGTACTTACTGTACTGTCGTACTGTCTATTGTGCTGTCGTACTGTCTACTGTACTGTCGTACTGTCGTACTGTCTACTGTGCTGTCGTACTGTCTACTGTACTGTCGTACTGTCTATTGTGCTGTCTCGTGTACTCGTGTCTACTGTGTGTCTACTGTGTACTCGTACTGTCTACTACTTTAACTTATCACGTTGAGACTTTTAAAACCTCATGGATACTAGACAAGGATAACTTATCAGTGCATAGGCTACAGTACAGAGCATATTACAGAAAATCATTAGATTAAAGAACTTCAGTAAAGAACCAATTCGAATCTGAAAAAAAGCCAGTCAACCGATTGCATCGGTAAACAAACCAAGGCGCCACTTCGCTATTTTTCCTGAGATTTTCTAGCACTTTGGAACTTTTCTAGGTCATGTGCTTGATAGAATTGAATGATCAGCGCTTAAGATCTTTTTCGCAGTTAGGAAACATCATTTTAAAGCTAACAGAGCTAATTTTAGGTATTTGTTTTAGTCGAGTTGCCTTGAGAACAAATATTGAGCTAGGCTTGTTGAGGTTGACTTGGTTTTCGTTTCCCATCTGAACCAATCTCTTTCACGATAGCTTTTCAAACATAATTTCAAATTGAAAAAGAAATAAATTGAAAACTTTTCTTCAAATTCAAGCAACCAAATCAAAAGCCGATCAAATTCTCTTTGTTCTTCGCATTTTTTTCACAATGCAAATTCCTGACTTTCATTTTTTGGTCATTTTTTTGGGTCTCGTGCAAACCTCAAACAAAAAACTCGCCATTCGATCAGCTGTTCAGAAAAAAAAGAGAGAGATAAATAAGCTATCAAATACCACATTTTTCCTCATTCGCAACAACCCATTCCTCACTAAAAACTTCCCGATTCCTTAATCACAGTAACTTTGCCAGAAAAAAGGTAAAATTTCAATTTTTTTTGATGCTTCTCAACTAATCTGTTTCTTAAAAGAAACCAATTTTAGAGAATTTCCAAATACAGCTTTTTGTCCAGATACTTTTTAGGACCAAGCTGGACAAATCCTAAACAAGCTTGGCTTTGATTGGCCAAGATCTGATTGGCTTTGACCCAATCTCATCACCAGCTTTCATTTGAACAAACTAGTTTTGGTTTTATTGACCGAGCATTGGGATTCTTCGTCGAATCTCACCAAAATTAGAATAAGCAAATGAAAACTGACAGATGACGATAGCTTTCTACAATAAATGCCTTTTAGAAAACTTTTAGATAGAAATCGAGTTCTAGAAAAGCTTGACTCAGTTTGACCCAGCTTGACTCAGCTTGCCTCAGCTTGACTCAGCTTGACTCAGCTTGACTCAGCTTGACTCCTTCTTGTGGAAAATTCCCCTGAACTTGTCTAAGTCAAAAGTTTCAACTCTTCCCCTCTCAATTCTCCCAAATTTTATTTGTCACTTTATTTCCGATTTCCAGGCTTTTTATAGGCTTTTTATGAGGTGTTCAATGTAATAAAACAAAAAGAAACAAGGATATTTTCCTACTTTTTGAGCACATTCTTAGATTTGGAATGGTTGGCTTTAAAATGAAACTTGTATAATAAAATCCTTAACTTGAGCAACGCTGATAGATCTGATAGTGAGCCTAATCCTGATCAGAAGTCATGACCAAGCCAGAGATACAAACCTGCAACAAAGCCAAACCTAACAAAGCCAAACCTGCAATAAAGCCAAGCCTACAACAAAGCCAAGCTAGATCAGGCTAAGAGTCAGCAGATAGAAATATTATTCCAGTAGACAAACAAGACTAGAGTCAGCTCCAAATACAGCTATTTGTCCAGATACTTTTTAGGACCAAGTTGGACAAATCCTAAACAAGAGCCAAGATCTGATTTGCCCCGAGAATTTGATTTTGGACTCTGATCTAATACAATTCTCATCTAAAAACACTCTGTCTACTTACTCATTGCAATCTTTTCCCCCTTTTTCCACTTCGTTTGTAGTGATGGGTGAGCGGATGCTTATACATTTGTCGTCTCGGATCTCTCCTCTCACCCACACAATCCCCTTTCTCCCCAGTTCTTTTTTTTTTGAACACCTTGCCCACCTCTTTCCAAGATTTGACGCAAAATCCCCAGACGTTTTCATTTTTAATAATTGAAGTATTTGAATTTAATTCGATTATTGTATAAACCAACTTTATAAACAATTTCTTTTATTTTGAACTTATTTGACTTCTATTCTTCTGGTGTACTTTACAAATCATGCAAAAAAACACCTTCTGGCGTACTGAGTTCTTGCCTTTTCTTGTCGGGTTTGAAAAAAAAGTGTACCAGAAAGGATGGGTT